CTGATACTGTTAGGATTCATCCCAAATAGAGCTCCAGCTCTAGTCAACCTCATTCCTCCCCAGGACTGGAAGTGTTAGACCCCCTGCCTTAGGAATCTAAAATTTAGAAACTGTAATAAGGTGAGAGGGAGGAGGAAGTGGGAGCCCCACAGAGGCCTTTCACTGGGATGTGGGATCTTGCTGCGACTGTTTATAAAGTCGCATTTTTATACAATTCCCTGAGAGATCCTCAGATCTCAGCATGGAGAGGGGGATGTGCAAAACAGCCATTAAAAACAACAGTCAAACCCCACTCCGGTAAAGACTAATTGAGTCAAGGACAGTAAAACCGCACCTGTCAGTGTCCCAGACTCGAGAAGGCACATGAAATCCCAACATTCAGACGTGTTGCTACATAAAAGAGAATCCATTCCATGCGAAGATAGGAAGATAAATTACACATTTCCTACCTGGCCAGCCTTATGGACTCCTTGGAATAATGAGAAAAATAGTAGGCGTTTGCCTTAGAATCAGGGACACTAGTATGCAACACACTCAGCGTGTGAATGAGGTATGGCACACACCTAGGACGGTGGACTGCTTAAGTAGGCAGGAACCCCATTTCCAGAGACACTTCATCCAAATACAATTGGGGGCTTGATGGGCCCATCCTCCCTCCTTTTTTAATTATGCTAATAGATTGGCCCTTTTGGAGGGTGGCTTATTTCTGCAGTGTCCATGTTATCCAATTTTAATTATTTTCAATTCTTCTCTTATTTTCAACTTTGGAGCATCCAAAACATTTCAGCAGGAGGGCCCTTTTCCCAAGAAATCATTATTAGTAGCAGTAATTACATACCAACTCTTAATATAATCCCATATGGAATGTGTTTCCATTTAAGTTACATTTTACTAAATAGCTGGATTACCCCACAAATGATTTGAGAACTCTATAAAGGACATTTTCAATGAAAAGGTTTTGTTTGGAACAATAAGGTATGTCAGAGCAGCTTCATCTGAGAAATAAGATTAATCCTGAAAGTAATCACTCAATTAACACCTAGCGATTTGGAAAGCAAAGTCTGAAAGGTTATAAGCAAGTGTGATGCCGGATGTGGTAGGAAAGCCAGGCCATGGAGTGGGGTAGATGGACTTCGGGTTTGGAGGACAGGTGGAGGCACCAGGAGCTGTGCTCGCCAGCTGCGTGACTCTGGGCAAGTCTCCTCACCCCCCTAGATTCCCGTGGGCTCTTCTGTGATGTGGAGAAAACCAGGAATTCGCAGGCTCCTGAGTAAGGACAGAAGGTGTCTTGCCCAGGACACAGCACATGACAGAGACAGGGGCCCCAAGGAGGGTGTGAGTCACCTTTCCCTGGCTGAGAGGGGATGGGAATGCTCTAGAACAGAGAGGTTCTAGTAATGGATAGTAAAGGCATGGAGAGAAGGGCCAGGCACAGAAGAGCAAGCTGGGGAAGGAAGCATGAACTCTGACTCCTGAGCCAAGCTGACTGCCCGGGAGCCTTGGCTGTCATGTGCGAGCCAAGGCTGAGCCAAAGGGCCGAAAGACTACTGAGTGAGCTTTTGCTGCAACAAAAAACTCTGGATCATTCTGAGAACCTCCTGGGAGATACCAGTATGTTTCGGTGCCATCCCAGTTCCGATAGTGTTAGGATTCGTTCCAAATAAAGTGTGAGCTAGCTCAAGCTGGCTAGCAGCTGGGAAAACCAGAGTAGATCCACTTGCCCTTGAGAAACACAAGAAGGTGGTATTTAATGATGTCACAGATAAGGTATTGTGGCAGAAATGAGGTAAGGAAGGGCCTGAAGGCAACGGGACCAGCACATACCGAGGGTGGGGAAGTGGGTGAGGGCCTGAAATCCCAGCTCAACAGATTGCAGAGGGAGGTCCTCACTAGCTCAGCGTTATGTTCATAGTGCAATGATACGAAATGGTAATAACAGACTTCAGTGCCAAATTTGAGCTTCCATTCCACAAACCAGGAGGGAGAGGGAACAGAGTACAATGGGGTTCACAGAGAATACCCAAACAGATGACAGAGATGGTAAAGGGTTGAGTTCCTTCAGTCTACAACCAACAAAATTTGATGGAAACATTTCTGCCATGTGAGTATTAGTTTTGTTTTTGTTCCCATTTCCTTTGCTCATGTCCCTGGCAGTGAATATTTCAGGGTAATTCTCTCTCTGGGAGTACTATTTGCTGGTCGACTTCAAGTTACTATATGGTAGAATGAAACTATACAATGATAAATTCTGTTCTCTGAAACTGATTCACAGGTACCCACCCAATTATGGCTTAAAATGCAAAAACAAATAATAAAAAACACTAAATGGTGGATCTTTGAGATCATTACATTCAACCTCTTCACTGGAGATGAAGAAACTGAGGCACTAAATAGATTTGAGAGATTTCCCAAAGACCCACAGTTGGTTAGGGCAAATCCAGAAATTTCTTCCTCTCCTCTGAGCATCAAACAATAGTTATAATGGGATTGACTCTGGAAAAGGAAGACAATGTTTAACATGTTTAAATAATTGTGTTTAGTATTATCTTCCAAGATTGGTTTCAATATTAACATTATTGTATAACAAGAGGCCCAGTGCACAAAATTTGTGCACTCGAGGGAGGGGAGTTCTCAGCACAGCCTGTGCCCTCTCACAGTCGGACATCCTTAGTGCTACTGCCAATGCTCTCACCAGCTGTGAGCCTGGCTTCTGCCTGAGTGCCTAAGCAGTGCTCTCGCTGTGGGAGAACGCTAATCATCATGGGGCAGCTTCTGTGTTAAGCGTCTGCCCCCTGGTGATCAGTGCTCGTCATAGTGATCTGTCTTTCCACCATTTGGTTGATTTGCATATTAGCATTTTATTATATAGGATATGGTTATTACAGCATCACTAGGACCACTGGACTTGATTTCTCTAGTTTAAATACAACATCAATAGGCAAAGTTTCACAAGCTGGACACTCTCTGGTGTGAGGTACTCTTCTCGAGTGACAATGTGGATAGAAATAGGCACAACACTAGATGACACACTGGAAAACAGCCACCAAACTTTCAAAAACTTATATGCCTCTGAATCAATGGGTCCACTGCTAAGACTCTGCCCTCTGACTGGACTCACAAAAGTATGTATCAATAATGCTCACTGCACCATAGTTGAGACCCAATTTTGAATGAAAATGCAAGAGAGACTGAACTTACAGACAGCATCACCTAGAATAGCAAAGCAAGGAAAACAACCCAAATATCCTTCAAAAAGGGAGACTGGTTAAATAAATTACAGCATAAGATGACGATGGACTATTTGATATTACAGAGCAGTTAAATACAATGGGGTAGAAAAGAAAATGAGGAAAATAAGAAAAGATCTATATTACTAAGTAAAAAATAATCAAAATGTATAAATATATATAGTGTGTGTGTGTGTGTGTGTGTGTGTGTGTGTGTGTGTGTGTAAGTATATAAAACCTTTATGTGGAAGAATACACAAGAAATGGTTAATAATATTTACTTTCCAAGAGAAGGATTGAGAAGGACTTTCACTTTTTACTTAATACTATCCCATTTTGTATGAAAATATAAACCACATGCATATATTACCATTTACTCACTTTATACAATTCTAAAAATTATGAGCCCCCGTTTTGTATATTTAATTTAATACCAAATAATGAATCAGGTGAGATTAGGACAAGAGTTCATTTGAAATATACAGAATTTTTCAAGAAGAAACAAATCTTCCTTTTCTTGACTTTCATAAATTTTCAGTCCAGAATCTCAGACATCATCCTCTTAAACAAACCATGGTCTACTTCTTCAGATGGCAAGAAATCTTCCATGGTGTTCAGAAAACGAAGACAGTCTTGGCAAGTATGACCCAAGCCCTTCACGCTCTGCTCCCAGCCATGTGACTGTCATCACCTCCACCCCCTCCTCCTCCTATTCCCCTGCCTGGTGTGACCTTTCTCCCACCTTCCCCCTAGTCTTTATTTCTTTCTCTTTTTTCTTTTTTCTTTTTTTTGAAAGGAAAAATTCTTTTTTTTTAAAATATATTTTTATTGATTTCAGAGAGGAAGGGAGAGGAAGAGAAAGAGAGAGAGAGAGAGAGAGAGAGAGAGAGAGAGAGAGAGAGAGAGAGAGAGAGAGACCAGTTATATTCTTGGTCAGGGAATATGCCTGTATTGTGGGCTTGATCCTCAGTAGGGAGCATGCAGGAGGCAGGTGATCAATTGTTCTCTCTCATCATTGATGTGTTTCTCTCTTTCTCTTTCTCTCCTTTCTTCTCTGAAAGCAATAAAAATCTATCTTTTAAAAAACAGTATTTCCTTGACATTGGCAGAGCTCACTTCCTTACTACATTCAGGTCTTTGATCAAATGTCACACCTTTATAGGAGTCTCTGCTGACCGTCCAATCTGAAAGAGTCCACGCTGCCCCTCCTTACCCCTCACGCCATTTTATTATGTTTCACTGTATTAAAAACCACCTGACATTAGGGTCTGTTTCTCCTACCAGAAGGTAACCCATGAGTTTTGTTTGAAGCTATATCCTGAGCCCAGAGAGCACTGTAAACCCTCAGTGACCATTTCCTCTTACATGTATCAACACCAACATCTACACAAAGATAAAAAAGCAAAACCCAGAGACAGGGCTAAAATCTGCTCCTTCCTTGCCCTGAAGTTCATAAGCATTACAAGCTCTCAGTTGTATTTAAGGGCGTTCACCACACTTTTTTTTTCTTCATACGTGAGCTAAGTGAGTCAACATTCACCAACCTCTGACTATAGGGCAATGGACGCTGACAATGAACTGTAAACAAGTGTGGGTGAAGGCGGGCCTGCCAGTCCTTTTCATTCATCAAGTCAACAAAGTGAACGTGGCTTTCTATCTAAAGAAAACATTATTCCAAGAGCAATAAACTTTACGCACTGCACCACAACCGCCATGTGTTCATCCTGGCGAGTGTATTTGACAATTGAAAGACAGAGTCGAGTTCTTGCTTACCCATTCTCCTAAAATGCGGGACACGGCTTCATTGGCTCTGCTCATATTCCGACAGGCCAGGATCACGTGAGCACCATGGAGGGCAAAAGACTTGGCGGTTTCAAACCCTATGGTTTAAAGGAAAGTCAACATTAGAAAACACTGAAACACGGTGAACGGCCTTTAGTGAGCACCATACACATCACCCTGTTGGTTCTCAACCAGGTTGTGTAGCGCCGCTGTTCTGAGCTGGATGGGAGCGGGAATGGGGGGAAATCTTGCTGAATGACCGGATGCATCCATCAGGCTAATGAAATGCTGATAGCCAAATGGAGCTTACAGGATGTGGCCAAAAACGACTTCTCTTGCAATCCAGGACTTCCTACACCCCGATCTTACTGAAAATGATGGATTCCGTGTCCCTATGAAATTTCCAGGTGAGAGCAATTATCGGAAATATTTCTCAGCACATTTTCATCAGACTACTTAAAAAATGATGTAGGGGAGAAGGGGCACATAGTGGACACAAGGCTTAGTCATTCGTTAGCAAACATATTTCCGATGGATTGAGAGATGATAGACACAATGCTGGGCCAGGCAGGGCTTTATGTATCTAATTTACCAGGTTAATGGCAAACACCTTACAATTTTTGCCTTTTTCATCTCTGTATCCCAAGGGACTAACACTCAGTAGGATTCAAAAAATATCTGCCAAAGGAATGAATGGCTCTTACATATTATTACTAAGCTACAATTCTGGACTACTATAAAACAATCCAAATTGTTTTAAATAGTTCTGATGACCCTCTTCCTTTCAAACGAATAAATGTTAAAATCCTGCAGATACCAATGCAGATTTGAATGGCACTACCTAGAAATCTGTGGGGCAAATCATGCACTTCTCCAATCAAAATTTATTTTCTTGCCCTGGCCAGGTGGCTTGGTTGGTTGGAGTGTCATTTCGTACACCAAAAGATTATGGGTTTGATTCCTGGTCAGGACACATATGGTAGGTTTTGGGTTTGATCCCCAGTTGGGACACATATGGGAGGCAACTGATGGATGTTTCTTTCTTACCTCTCTCTTTGTTTCCCCCTCTCCCTAAAACTCTAAAATCAATAAAAACATAGCCTCAAGTGAGGATTAAAAAGTCTATCTAGTAAAAGGGTGATATGCAAATTAACCATCACTCCATCACAAATATGGCGGTGCCCATAGCCACAAGATGGCGGTGCCCAATCCCCTCAGCTTCCCCAGAGTTCCCCAGTCCTGGGGGGGGCTGCTGCTAAGAGCAGGCAGTGTGAGCGCCTGGAGGAGTGCTTGCTTCATCTCCTTGTGGATGGAGGGCCTCTGGGCAGCAGGAGCAGAGTAGCCGGGGTGGGATGCTCGCTTCATCATGGCAGTAACACCCCAGCTGTAGAGGGCCTCTGGGGAACTAGGGGTAGGGGATTAGGGGCCAGCCCACAGCCTCCACGGCCAAGGCCTAGAGAGGAGATAACAGGCCGGCCTCCCACAGAAGCAATGTGGCTCCCGTGGGCGGCCTACTGCACATGATATCGCGAGATGGGCTACTGGTGTATATATGTTTTCCAAAACAAACCTGTCAAGACAGGCTACTTTGCTTACAAAATAACCTCTGGCAAAGGACTTTTTATTACCAGCAAGAACACGTCTGACGCCGGGACTGGTTTGGCTCAATGGATAGAGCGTCGGCTTAGGGACTGAAGGGTTCGATTCTGGTCAATGGCATGTACCTTGGTTGCGGGCATATCCCCAGTAGGGGGTGTGCAAGAGGCAGCTGATCAATGACTCCCTCTCATCGATGTTTCTAACTCTGTTTCTCTCTCCCTTCCTCTCTGTACAAAATCAATAAAAAAATTAAAAAAAAAAAAGAAAGAAAAAAAAAGAAAAAGAACACGTCTGACGTGATGGCAGCAACGGGCTGCTGGTGCAAGTTTGCACCCGGTCGGTCTCCCTAGATAATCCCTGACGGTGGCTCTGGTGAAGCCATCTGTCCCTGTGTTGTGGGAAATTACACGGAGGGTCTTCCATCTTCCTTAAACGAGCAATGCCTCACACACCGCTAGTCTACCCTTAAAGCTTCAGCAGGCAACTCTGTCTCCTGATGCTTTACAACGGCCTTTGGAGCAGAAACAAAGCATGGATATTTCAAAAGATGATGGCTTAACAGGAAGGACCATAACATTTTTATAGTAAACCGTATCTCTAGAGTGTGGAGTTTAAAAAAAAAAAAAAAAAAGTTGAATAATGCTACCTACTGTGAAAGTCCTGGAAAGTCCAGGAGAATAGCATCCCTCACTCCCATTTAATTAGTTAAATGTAGAGAGCTAAGCCAATTCTGCACGATGCCAAGGTTTGCACAAAATATTCAAGGCAGTGGTTTGCTAAATTTAATAACCTGATTTGTCTTACAAAAAATTAACTTTATGACAATGCTTAGATTGAACGAGCTTAGCTGCATAGACGTGGCAAGAGTGCTTTCAGGAGAATATTTAAGTTAATAATACCAAGAAAATAAGGGAACACATTTTAAAACAATGGGCAGTGTCAGTTTTCCAGCACTTGTTCCAGCCAATCCAAGTGGGAAAATGCAGTCCCCGTGGAGGGCTGATATCTCCGTCTCGGGTTTTAAGCTTTGCCTACAGACATAAAAGTACAATAAGAGGTAAAACATACCCAAAATATTAAATACGTGCTTGTCTTACACTAGTTTTCATTCTCTAGAATGGTGATCACAGGATAAATCAAGCCCACAGGCTGGTTTTGTTTGGTCCGCGCTTTGTTTCCCTGCCTCTCTCCCTCCATTCTTTCCTTCCCAATATGAATTAGTTACCAGCATTAAAAAAAATCAGGGAGATTCCGTATCCAAAAGTAGATACCCAACTTCTCTGAAAAAGCTTGCCACACTGGGCCCCTAAACCGCCTTGCATGGGGTTAGTACCATCCTGAAGGCCTAAGTCACCCCCCACGCTACTGACATACGTGTCCTACTGACATACCTGTCCTACTGACATACCTGTCTGGCCACTGTGGGCCTTTGATGCTCAGATGCACATTACCTGGGGCAGATGCCTGCTAGAGACAATGGCTCAGGACTAAAATCACAAAATAGCCTCAATCGGAAAGTTCACCTCTGTACTGTGGAATCTCAAAGACTGTTTCACACAGATCTGATTGAGATATAACTTAGGCCACCTTGAACTCCAGAATCTCAAGCATGAGAAAATGGAGACTAGCTGGGCCAGGGAGACCTGGCAGCAGCACTCGGCTTTGCCCTGTAAGGACTCGGGGCTCTGCAGGAATTTGGATACCTGGTGCAAGTTCCTTACCCTCCTGTGCATCTCCCAAGTATGGCTGTGTGGTAGAAGGACCTCTGGACTGGGAACCACTTTGGGGCCAAAGGATATAGACGTGAACCAGACAAGCAGTAAAGACCGGGTGCATGGCAAAACAAGGTCAAGGGCTGGAGAGGGCCCATGAGAATGAGGAACAGGAACCGCAATGGGAGATGAAACCCTGGGCCCCAAAATAAGACTGTGGGGCTCTTTTGCATGTGGCAGGGAGTGTGTACAAAAACCTGGGAGGGGCCCTCGCTGGTTTGGTACAGTGGATAGGGCGTCGGCCTGCGGACTGAAGGGTCCCAGGTTTGATTCCAGTCAAGAACATGTGCCTTGGTTGCGGGCACATCCCCAAAGGGGGGTGTGCAGGAAGCTTCTGTCGATGTTCCTCTCTCATCAATGTTTCTAACTCTCTATCCCTCTCCTTTCCTCTCTGTAAAAAATTAATTTTATATATATATATATATATATATATATATATATATATATATTATTTACTTTTTTTTTTTTTTTTTAAGAACCTGGGCAGGGAGTAGCACTACAAACTATTGTTATGTTATCCACTTAAAATGCCTCTGGTTCTCACACAGACGAGGGATTGATGAAGACACTAAAGCCTGTGACCAGCCAGGAGGGGTGAGGAGCCGCTGATACTCAACAGATAAGAGGAAACCAGAAAGCCATCTGGGAAGCACAAATCCACAAAGCCTGAGACTGCCTGTGTCTACCTTAGAGAGAGCACCCAAGGTCCCCAAGGATGGCAGCTGGGACACGGGTGAGATTGGCAATTGGTTTACCCAGACAAGGAACACAAGGGGAAGATTGGTATGTGTGGCACCGGAGAGGGCAGGAACGGGGGCCACACCCAGTGAGACATACTGTTTTACAAACTGATGTCATTAATGGGAATGAAACTCTCCTTGTCCATACTGCTAGGCTGGATGGACAAGGAGAGTCACCAATTCCTCAGGCACGAGGCACGTGAGGCTGGGAGGCCAGGCCCAGCAATCAAGGAAGTGTGAGCTCAGAACAAGGCCATTTCTCTCCCAAAGCCAGGAAGGTTCCTTCTGGTTTGAGTTTTTTAATTTTCTCCACACTGTGGCTTTACATGGGCAGTGTCCCCATTTACTATAAATTATTATTTTAATTATCATTTTTATTAAGATGCCCAAAGGATCTGGGGCTTACAGCACCCGTAATTTCTAATGGGTTGTTATTATTAATTTATAATTGTGAAACACTGGAGATAAATGTTACCTGTAGCTGTACACAATTAAAAGGCCACGGAGATGGTGATTCCCTCCCCCTAACTCCCCAAGAGCAGACCACTAAAGCGTCGTTAGGAACCAACCAACAAATTGCCAGCACAAGACATCTCCCTCCCCGGAGACCTACCGTCACATACATAAGCTTAATGTCTTTCATCTTGAGTTAGATCTGGGGACAATTCAAATTTGGGGATAATTTTTATGTTAATAAACCAGTAGCTTAAAGCAGTGGTTGCCAACCAGTAGGCTGCAGACCACTGATGGTCCGTGAGAACCGAAAGGTTGGCAACCACTGGCTTAAAGGATGCGAGTTCCTCCTTCATTGTCCTACAAGCACAAGGACCCCACTTCCCAAACTGATGCAATTAATGAGAATAAAACTGCAGTGACACTGACCATGACACTGCACTCTAACTCCCGGCACTTCCAATGAAGACTTAGACACATATCCTCCACAACCGTAAGGTCAACGCCACAGAACAATAACCAGAGAATCCATAA